AGCGAGGAAATTTTTTTTTTTTTTATGCAAAATTCATGCAAATGCTTTTGGTGCGAGTATCTGGAGCAAGCCTTGTAATTAGTGTGTGTGGAGTACTAGAGTCGAAAACAAATATGGATGTTCGCGAAGCGAAGAAATTTTTTGTTTTTTTTATGCAAAATTCATGCAAATGCTTTTGATGCGAGTGTCTGGAGCAAGCCTTGTAGTGTGTGTGGAGTACTAGAGTTGAAAACAAATATGGATGTTCGCGAAGCGAAGAAATTTTTTGTTTTTTATGCAAAATTCATGCAAATGATTTTGGTGCGAGTGTCTGGAGCAAGCCTTGTAGTGTGTGTGGAGTACCAGAGTTGAAAACAAATATGGATGTTCGCGAAGCGAGAAAATTTTTGGTTTTTTTTTTATGCAAAATTCATGCAAATGCTTTTGGTGTGAGTGTCTGGAGCAAGCCTTGTAATTAGTGTGTGTGGAGTACTAGAGTTGAAAACAAATATGGATGTTCGCGAAGCGAAGAAAATTTTTGTTTTTTATGCAAAATTCATGCAAATGCTTTTGGCGCGAGTGTCTGGAGCAAGCCTTGTAGTGTGTGTGGAGTACTAGAGTTGGAAACAAATATGGATGTTCGCGAAGCGAGGAATTTTTTTTGTTTTTTTATGCAAAATTCATGCAAATGCTTTTGGCGCGAGTGTCTGGAGCAAGCCTTGTAATTAGTGTGTGTGGAGTACTAGAGTTGAAAACAAATATGGATGTTCGCGAAGCGAAGAAAATTTTTGTTTTTTATGCAAAATTCATGCAAATGCTTTTGGCGCGAGTGTCTGGAGCAAGCCTTGTAGTGTGTGTGGAGTACTAGAGTTGAAAACAAATATGGATGTTCGCGAAGCGAAGAAATTTTTTTGTTTTTTTATGCAAAATTCATGCAAATGCTTTTGGTGCGAGTGTCTGGAGCAAGCCTTGTAGTCTTCCCTGTTCTACGTAAGACTGCTGCATGCTTTTAAATTCTTCTAAATTCTTCTAGATTCGTCGGAATTCTGCAGTTTTCTTCCAAAATCTTCCGGTTTCTGCCTGTCTGTCAAGACATGCCTGGTTCCCAACACCATTTTTTTTCATTTGTACACACACACGGTATCCCCCATTTCTTCGTTTTTCTACCTTTTCTACCTTTTTCTACCTTTTTCTACCTTTTTCTACCTTTTTCTACCTTTTTCTACCTTTTTCTACTTTTTTCTACCTTTTTCTACCTTTTTCTACCTTTTTCTACCTTTTTCTACCTTTTCTACCTTTTTCTACCTTTTTCTACCTTTTTCTACCTTTTATTCGGTTGAGGTTTGTTTTTTTTTCTCTTTTTTTCCCCTTTCTACCGGCATGCTTGGGGGAAGGAAATGCTGCCCGATTTTCAGCCCCTCCCCCCCCCTCCCCTAGGCCATACGTTTAGGGCCTAGGGTTTAGGGCCTTAGGTTTAGGGCCTAGGGTTTGGGGCCTTAGGTTTAGGGCCTAGGGTTTGGGGCCTTAGGTTTAGTGCCTAGGGTTTGGGGCCTTGCGTTTAGGGCCTTGGGTTTAGGGCCTAGGGTTTAGGGCCTAGGGTTTGGGGCCTTAGGTTTAGGGCCTAGGGTTTAGGGCCTTAGGTTTAGGGCCTAGGGTTTGGGGCCTTAGGTTTAGGGCCTAGGGTTTGGGGCCTTAGGTTTAGTGCCTAGGGTTTAGGGCCTTGCGTTTAGGGCCTAGGGTTTAGGGCCTAGGGTTTAGGGCCTAGGGTTTGGGGCCTTAGGTTGACGGCCTAGGGTTTGGGGCCTTAGGTTTAGGGCCTAGGGTTTAGGGCCTTACGTTTAGGGCCTAGGGTTTAGGGCCTTAGGTTTAGGGCCTATGGTTTAGATGTATGTATATACGTGTGTATGTATGTATGTTTGTATGTATGCATGTATATGTATGTATGTATGTATGTATGTACATGTGTGTGTGGGTGTGCAGGTGTGTATGTTCGTATGTGTAGGTGTTTATGTGTGTGTGTGTCTGTGTGTGTATGCATGGGCTTATGTATGTATGCATGTATGGATGTATCTGCCTATGTATGTATGTATATATGTATGTATGTACCTATGTATGTACTCATTTACACACACATACAAATGTATACATAATTGCGCATACGTATATACATGCATGTGTATATATTTATAGGTGCGTATATATAGATATATGTCTGTATATATATATATATATGTATACATGTCTGTATCTATATATATTGTTTGTGTATGTATATACATACACATGTATGTATATACGTGTGTGTCTACCTATATGTAATATCTTTAAACAGATATAAATATATGAAGAATCGCCATTAAGGTCATCACCAACCTCGCCATAATTATTAAAACCATCATCATGCTCGTCATAATTATCAAACCACCATCATCGTCTTCATAGCCCGAGTCTTCTTCGTAGAACCCAGGTTTTATAATCATCAACATCATCATCATATATCATCATACACATCGCCAACGACATATTCACAATCGTCATCATAATCAGCATCGGCCATCATCAGTCATCGTTGTTATCATCCACATAGAACGTCGTTATAGTCATCATCATAAACATCGAATCATCAATGAGATAGAAGCCAGGAAGCTGGAATAATTACCAGTACTTTTGCTCAGGGCTCAAGGCTCCTTGTTTTTACTGTTACACATCCCGGCGTTCACGGCTTTGAACCATGCGACAATAATCAACAACATGTTGTTACGAAACAGAGTCTACTTAATGTATTTCCGAACAGGGTGAGAATTGAAATTTCCTATAGGATTTGTGCTTGGAATCCAAGAAAAACAAGGCTGCGAATTGTAATTTCCCATAGGATATGTATTTCCGAACAGGGTGCGAATTGTAATTTCCCATAGGATTTGTGCTTGGAATCCAAGAAAAACAAGGGTGCGAATTGTAATTTCCCATAGGATATGTATTTCCGAACAGGGTGCGAATTGTCATTTCCCATAGGATTTGTGCTTGGAATCCAAGAAAAACAAGGCTGCGAATTGTAATTTCCCATAGGATATGTATTTCCGAACAGGGTGCGAATTGTAATTTCCCATAGGATTTGTGCTTGGAATCCAAGAAAAACAAGGGTGCGAATTGTAATTTCCCATAGGATATGTATTTCCGAACAGGGTGCGAATTGTAATTTCCCATAGGATTTGTGCTTGGAATCCAAGAAAAACAAGGGTGCGAATTGTAATTTCCCATAGGATATGTATTTCCGAACAGGGTGCGAATTGTAATTTCCCATAGGATTTGTGCTTGGAATCCAAGAAAAACAAGGGTGCGAATTGTAATTTCCCATAGGATATGTATTTCCGAACAGGGTGCGAATTGTAATTTCCCATAGGATTTGTGCTTGGAATCCAAGAAAAACAAGGGTGCGAATTGTAATTTCCCATAGGATATGTATTTCCGAACAGGGTGCGAATTGTAATTTCCCATAGGATTTGTGCTTGGAATCCAAGAAAAACAAGGGTGCGAATTGTAATTTCCCATAGGATGCTGTACCTGGATGCCAAGAAACAGAGTCTACTTAATGTATTTCCGAACAGGGTGCGAATTGTAATTTCCCATAGGATTTGTACTTGGAACCCAAGAAACACAAGCGCTAATCAGGGTGCGAGCGGGTGCGAATTGTAATTTCCCATAGGATATGTATTTCCGAACAGGGTGCGAATTGTAATTTCCCATAGGATTTGTGCTTGGAATCCAAGAAAAACAAGGGTGCGAATTGTAATTTCCCATAGGATGCTGTACCTGGATGCCAAGAAACAGAGTCTACTTAATGTATTTCCGAACAGGGTGCGAATTGTAATTTCCCATAGGATTTGTGCTTGGAATCCAAGAAAAACAAGGGTGCGAATTGTAATTTCCCATAGGATGCTGTACCTGGATGCCAAGAAACAGAGTCTACTTAATGTATTTCCGAACAGGGTGCGAATTGTCATTTCCCATAGGATTTGTGCTTGGAATCCAAGAAAAACACGGGTGCGAATTGTAATTTCCCATAGGATATGTATTTCCGAACAGGGTGCGAATTGTAATTTCCCATAGGATTTGTGCTTGGAATCCAAGAAAAACAAGGGTGCGAAGTGTAATTTCCCATAGGATATGTATTTCCGAACAGGGTGCGAATTGTAATTTCCCATAGGATTTGTGCTTGGAATCCAAGAAAAACAACGGTGCGAATTGTAATTTCCTATAGGATATGTATTTCCGAACAGGGTGCGAGCTGGCGGTTTCAGCTGGGGGAAACAAGCAGAAGTCTAGAAAAGTGTTTGAATTCTCCGCAGATACAACGAAGAATTTCGAAGAATTTCGAAGATTTACGAAGATCTAAGAGGAATGGTCTAGAAAAGTGTTTGAAGTTCTCCGCAGATACAACGAAGAATTTGGAAGAATTTCGAAGAATTTCGAAGATTTACGAAGATCTGAGAAGAATGGTCTAGAAAAGTGTTTGAAGTTCTCCGCAGATACAACGAATAATTTGGAATAATTTGGAATAATTTCGAATAATTTCGAATAATTTCGAATAGTTTCGAATAATTTCGAAGATTTACGAAGATCTAAGAATAATGGTGAAGAACCTGGAAGAATGAAGAATATTATGGAAGTTTACCGAAGAAAACGTAATATTTCCGAATATTTAAGCAGAAATTCAAACATTTCTGAATATTGTTGAATAGGGTTAAACACACTGAGAAGTACCCTTCTGAGAAGCCTCCCTATCCTCACAGAAGACTAACTCATCTACCCATCTACCTTGGTGTCCATTCGTCTGTCTGTGATCTCTCTCTCTCTCCCTCCCTCCCTCCCTCCCTCCCTCCCTCCCTCCCTCCCTCCCTCCCTCTCTCTCTCTCTCTCTCTCTCTCTCTCTCTCTCTCTCTCTCTCTCTCTCTCTCTCTCTCTCTCTCTCTCTCTCTCTCTCTCTCTCGTCACAGGTCATCTATACCTTTCTATCCCTTCGTCTATGAAGAAAGGAGGAAGCCGGGCCGCAGGTAGTCCACGAAGTTCAGGGCCTCCAGGGATGCGCTGGACACGCCCTTCAGGACCTGAGCGGCTGCTTTTTTTGCCGCCCACATGGGCGGCAGCCAAGACGCTCTTTGGTGCCTCTTCTTTGTCTGATTTTGCTGTGGTTATATAGGTAACTAGATAGATAGATAGATAGATACAATTACATATAACACGGATATAACAGATAGATCGATAGATAGATAGTGTTGTGTGTTGATTCTTGGTCTTCTCCTGCCCGGGCACGGTGGCGACGTCGGAGTCCTCCTCGCGAGGTCGGCTCTTGCTTGAGGCAGCGGGAGATGCTGACGCAAAGGGACTCTTAACGCAGGCTTCAGTCAACATATAGAGTCTAGAGAGGTGAAAAAAGGGATCCGTCTTAAAGAGGACCTTTGTTTAGCGAAGATTCTTGAAGTTACGGTCGGGATCACTCGCTAGAGACCTTTGAGACTGTCACACAACGATTGCCGGAGCTGCCGCGGCGGGCTGACATAGCGGCTGGCTGGAGGAATTACCCGCCCGCACGCAGCCCAATTTAGCCCTTCCTAGCGGCGGAAACTCCGTACATCGGAATATGAATCCCTGTATGCAGATTCGGATCTTCTTACAGGGAGCTCCAAGCGTTTGGACTCAGTCAACCAGTCAACGTGATACCTGTGCCATGGGCCTAACCAAAGGGCCTCAGTGCTTAGGGGTCCTTATGATGAGAGTCCTACTAGCTGCGGGAGGGGGGGGTGGTCTTTAGTTTCTTGGGACACTTCCATATCGTAGCAGGATCAAGAGGGGATTCCAGAAACCCTCTCTCTTGGAAATCAATCCTTCTTTGCCAGGTAGGAGGTAGCGACGAAGCCGGCAGCACCAATCCTGGGACAGATCACAAGCAGAGTTTCCGAAACCCTAAGCCTTCCAGAACCCCAATCCCGAAGCCCTAAGCCCATCAAATCATATGGGTTGTTGTCAAAATCAGGGTCCCACTTTGGGTCCTTATTATAGTACGGCACCTTGTATGTAGGGTAGCCAAAAAGGGGACATAATTTTTGACAACCACCCATACAACTCCAGAAGGACCGCTAACCAAGGTGCCAGAATCCGCCCAGGAGGAGACCGGTCACACCGCCCAGGACACCGGCGGTGGCGATGCTGTTCTCCTGACGCTTCGGGGTTTGCGGCTTGAGATCCGGCCATACGGTTGATGATAGAAATCCTGCATTACCTTAAGGACCCTAAACTATGGGAATAATGGTGTATTCCTTGTTATGGGCAATGCAGGATTTATATCATCAGCCGTAGTCTTCAATGTCTTCAATATTCCAGAGAACGGAACCTTGGGACCCTCTGATACAGAGCCAAGTTCCGGATTCCTTGGCATCACGAAACCTGCAAAGGTGACCCGGAATACCAAACCCTCCAAGAAAGCCATCACGGCCCCGAGTTTCTAGGAACACCGCTGGCTTTCGGAATTTTCCAGAAACCGAGAGCCCCAAACCCTAAACCGCACATCCCAATACCCTAAGGCCCCTTGCCTTAAGGCTGACTATAATACGGATATTTCTGGATTATGAGTTGTAAGGGATCTGTACTGCTAATTACCCAAACCCCTGTATTATGTCATAATGGTTCAAGTTCACCTGCCTCTTCCACGCCTCAACCCTACCTTAACCCTGAAGAACCTACCTTAAGGACTTACATAAGGAAATCATAACAAGGAACCCTGAAAAGGTAGGTTACTCAGGGTTAAGGTAGACCCCAAAACCGTTAAAAGGGGTCCTTTGTCACCTTCACCAGGGCAACGGAGGAGCCCCCAGAGCTGGCTGCCGCCTCACGAGAGCGGCAAAGGAGGCCCCTGCGGTGTGGGGGTTTAGGGGAGTTTGAGGGGTTTGGGGGGCCTTAGGTGTTGAGGGGCTTAGGCGTTTAGGATTAGCGTGACTGTTGCGAGTTGTCCGGTGCTGTGTTGGTTCGCGACGGCGGGTGTCTGGTGGATTTGGGAGTTTGCGGCAGTTTCAATGCTTTAAGGCGGGACCCGAGCTTTAGTTTCCTTGTCAATTAAGCTCAGAGACTTCGGGGCGTCTGGCAGTGCACGTCTGTCGGGATTCTGTGGGGATATCAGTCCAAGTATTGGGGTGCACTGTTGCATCAATCAGAATCAACCTAGCATGGTAAAGGGATGCTGCTACTACTGTTCAGACACTCCTTTATACCCTTCCCTTCCCATCAGTCCTCGGCAGAGCGGGCAGTGCGGCCCTGAGCGGGGGCCAAGGCGCCAGTGAAGCAAAGGGTGGCAGGCACCTGGGGGGGGAGGGGGTTATCGGGCTTCATGCGGGGTGTTACAGGATGTCATACCAGAGTTCGGTTCGCAAGTGCTTGATAGGACTCTTATACGGGTTTTACTAAAGCTTCGCAAAAACTTCAAACTGGTTGGAGTGGCGGGCACCTCTGTACGAATAGCTTCGGTGCTCCAGCTGAACTTCAAACTCAAGCCCAAAAGCCAGAACCCTCAGAAGATCCCTCTATCCTTGCACTCTCCGCCAAGAAGCCACGAGGGCCAGGAGGAGGGCAGCGCGGGCAGTGCGGCCTCGCGAGTCCGCAGATTTCAAGGCTCCGGGCTGAAGGGCTCGGAGCTTTGGGTGTGGAGTTTCGGGCTCCTAAACCCCCAAAATACAGAGTCCTTCTGTTTGTGTGGTCTTTTGGAGCCTGTCACCGCGGGGCTGAAGGGTCATTGAAGCCACAGGAGGGCCAAGTAAAGCCTATAAACCCGAAACCCTATAAACCCTAAACCCAATACACCCGAAACTATAAAGACTGGCGAAGTCACCTCGTGCGACAGCCATTGTTGCAAGAAGGGGAGCGAAAAGCTACGCGGCTGTCTTTGGACGTTTGGGCCTGAATGGCTGAGGCGGTGAAATGCAGAGGCGTCAGCAATTAGAGTAGGGAAAACCCTAAAACCCTAAACCCTATAAACCCTAAACCAGGGTTCCGGGAACCCCAAACAATACTATTGCTGCTTATTCAGACCTCTAACTCTAACTTACACAACCATCTCTACCGGGCAACATGAAAGGCTGAAACTCTCCCGAAATCCTCAACTTTTGGGGGTTGTTTAGGGTTTCATCCTCAGGGTTTGGGGAGCGTTGGCCTTAAGTTTTTTGGGGGTTTAGGGCTGTTTGGGGTTGAACATTCGGGTGTAAGGTAAGAGGTGCTGCTTTTGTCCTGTGCAATGCGAGTGGTGGAAAATATGCTGAAGGCTACACTGCGAGCTGGCCGGCCAGAGTCCCTTCCGCGGTTCCGCGTTGCTTTTTTGTTGAGGCTCGTCGGTTGTAACGCTGGGACGAGGCGGCCAGAAAGACGGTGGGCCATCAGCCAAGACTTGCTTACAGAGGCCCCTTGATCTAAGCTGTGCAACTCGGCACATCTGAAAAGAGACCTCAGTAGTGGAGGGCGGACCTTGCTTAAACGGTGGGTCGAGAGACAGAGTGCTCTACTTAGCAGCCCTGAACCCTGGGTTCCCATCTGGAATTCCGAAGGCGGCCCTAAGGAATGCAAGGTCCGGCTGTGCTAGACTTCTCAGAAAGGATGTCAAGTCGAGACATCCTCTGAACATTTACCTGCGACAGCGAGCACCATACCACTTCAGCTTCAGAACCCTCAATGCTACTGATTGGGGAGCGAGCACTGCATTTTGAATAGGTGTAGTAGTAGGTGTCCAAAAACTGAGGCCCGGGAAGAAGGAAACATCACGATCATGCAGTCTTCCGAAAGCAGGGGCGACGGCTTATGGGATTTCGTGGTAATATAACGGTCATAGAAGATCGCAAACCCCTTGATAAACCTTGAGTCCGAAATCCTACATCGTGAGGGATCGCATGTTTGTCTGGCCTACTGAAGGCTCTCTAGCGCATGAGCGCCCACAGCGAAGGGGTCTAGGGGTTTAGAGGGTAGGGTTCAGCTAAGGGTCGAGGTCGTCTGACCCAACCGCGGCTCACTGTCGCATGCACAATCGTCCCCAAATCCGGGCATTGGGGAAGGAGGCTTCTTGCGTGCGGCGCTGAATAGTGAATAGCCTAAGAACCCGGTTTTTTGCACTGCTCAAGCTGACAAGCGATCTTGCAACAAGGTACCCATATTGACTCGTTGCCGTTTTTGCGCCCATGAGCTCTGCACTGCACTCTCTTGATAAAACTGCACCCAGAGCTCAGTCTACGAAAGCATTCAGCTGCTCTTGGAGGTCTCCAGGGACTCATCAATCTTGGCCTTGATCTGATCGGTGACCTTAGCCCAGCATTTTGCAGATTCGGAAAACAACGGACCCATAGTAGGATCAAATCCCTCATGTCGGGGGAAAGTCCATGATGCGTCATAAAGGAAACCGAGTAACACCTCGAACAAGGTTTGGGCGTGCATTCGGGGTATCGGTGCTATAGTGGCACATTACTACTACTAAGAATTATCCCGACCTATTTTAGAATATTTTAGACTTGGCCGGTTGGCCCAAATTCTCGTTGGTGCCCGCCGCCAGCACCATCATTCCCATGCAATACCCGAATGCCTTGACAGCCCCTGTGGTTTTAGGGTTGGGGTTCAAGGTTTAGGGACATCCTTCGGCGTGCGAGGCGAGACGATGAAGGAACCCCCTCGCACTCAAAAGCCTCTTTTTCAGAGTAGCCAGGACGGCTTCTGCGAGCTTCAGAAACCAAGATCCGTCGCAGACCCTAAGTATAGTTCCGTAATACGTATTCAAGAAGCCCCCGTCTGACAAAGGCATAAGCAAAATGATGCTTCTGAGATTGCCATGGCAGGGGATGGCTCCCAATAGAGAAACTCAATTAAAGCATTAAGTGTTATTTAAAATTAACACAAAAGTGCATATTTAAGGACTGCTAATTTAAGCAACTGTGAAGTTTAAGGGTCCGACCTTGTACTGGTCGTTCAGCTCGACGACCTCTCCCGAACGAAGCTTCGGATGAGTTCGTGGGTGTGGGGCTTCATTGGTATGTATGGGGTCAGGGGTTTCGGATAACTATGCAGCAAGATGCAAGAATCGATGCCAGGATAACTTTGCATGGCTGGTTTGTAATTGAGTCTTCGAGCACATGGCGCAGTGCTCTCTGTTGGGGAACCAGTAGGCAGGAGCGCCCATGGTCCTTCCTCCAACTTCTCTTATCTGCTCGCCCGAACCATCCTCCTCTTCTTCTGCATCGCACGTTGTGAAGTCAGTGTGAGACTTGGAGCAGGATGGGCTCTGTGTTGTCTTCAGTGGGCGTGGGAGGGGCTCCACAGGACTGCACAGGATTCCACCCTGCCGGTGCCTTTGAAGTCGGGAGCCTCGATCCGGAAGAAGGTTGGAAAGATTTTCGAAGCAGGTACTATTTGCATATATTTGTGTTTAGGATTGTTTGTGCAGGTGCGACGCTGTGTCACTCTCATACCCCCCCAAGCCCACTTGCCTTCTTGGCCAGCTGGTCTGCAAGGTCCGTGCCGGAAAGGATCAAGGAGCCAACTGTGTCCTGGCACAGAGCTCATGACGTATCAAGCACGGGGGAGTGCTTCAATGCCGCTGGTGGGAAACATAGCATACCCCGCTGGAAGACCAAATGTGTCTTGCAAGCAACGGAGGGGTGGAAAAAGCCTAATGTAGAGAACTAACTATCAATTATAAAGTTTTGGCGACAACGAACTAACTTCGATGTCCTTGATGCCAACGTCCTTGTCAAAGCCTTGGCAACAGCGGTCTCGCACCCCTTTCGCGACAGCTTTAGGAACGGTTTTGGACCGGACCGTCGGATGATGCCTTACATTGTCGGTGGCTTCCAATACCATCTCTGTCAGAGACCTTCAACGACAACACTATCCTTGCACCTGGCTGGCAGCACACGGCATCGTTTTAGTACCAACTAAAACTCTCCGAAAACCTCTGAGGACATAGCCGACAGACGGCTTATGAAGCTCAAGCCCCTCAACACCAAGCCAAAGCCCCAAACTCCAAACCGCGTGAACAGCCAAGGCACTAGTGATGGCGTCGCCGACAGTGTCGAGGGAGCCCTGTGTGCGAAACCGTCCCGTGTTTGCGTCTTTGGAGCTTTCCGGTGCAGGGTCTGGGGCTGTAGAGCTCCAGACCAATCTAGTGGCTAAGGGTCGTGGAGCTAGACTTTGGGGTTCGAGGGGTCAGGGCAGTTAAGGATTACCTGAAGCTAAAGGCCACTTTAATGCAGGCCCCTCATGCGAACCGTGATCTTGAAATCAACATAGGTCCTGGTCGGTTCGTTCTAGAGTCTAATGCTTTTAGGTCTTGGTTCAAAGCGGCGCGGCCTTCACGGAGGAGGTGGTCTCGCTGTCTCCCTTCTCCAAGGCCTCGTTGAGAGCCTCAGCGACGGAATCTCATCGGAGTGGGGGCATTGTGGGATTTTCGGTTTCGGGTGCCGGCTTTCTGGTTAAACGTAGGGTTACGGTTAGGGTTTCGAGGTTTAGGATTGCGGGCTTTTCTCGCTGGGCCTTCGTGTAGGCGGGGACCTTACTACAATAAGTGTCTGCTTTCCACGACAAATTACTGGGCCTTCTTCTTCTTCACTCGCGGCTTTTCTCCACGATCTTTAGAAGCCCCCGTCGATCAATGGCCTTTCATCTCAGATCTGAGACGGCATCTCACATAAAACCCGGTAAGCCTACACTGCCAAACCCTGTATAATTACAAACCCATGGAATCCCCCGGCCGTAAATCCGTAAACCTTCATAACCCCTATACTGAACCCCTCGAATCCAACCACTCAAACCGGGGCTGTTCCTCAAACACATGCCTTGCTGCTGTTAAGTGGTTAAGTGCCAAGTTGCGGAGCCCACCTTGCTGGTGACGTCGTACTTCGAGTTCCTTGGCTCCAGGGGCAGCTTGTGTTTTGAGGCTCGGCCTTGTTCGAGGTGTGGGAGGCTTGCGGCTTTCCGTGGCATCTCGGACCGCTCTAACAGCAGCTAAGGGACAGGTAGTCCACAAAATTGATCGCCTCGAGCGACGCACCAGAAACGCCTTTCAGCACCTCGGCTTCTTCCCGGACATACGAAGAAGCGGCAGGCCCCGAAGCCTTGTTGCAACAGGCTTTCCACTAAACCCTAAACCCTAACCCTAACGGCAGTGTGCCGGGCCATGCCATTCATCCGAGGCACTGAGGCCACGTCGGAATCCTCCTGCTGCTTTCAGCGGTTTTACCAGGGTTTGTCTGGGCTCTTTAAAGGGTTTAGCAGGGTTTGGGTTCTTGGGATTTTGGGGTTTGGGCATGGTTCTGAGGGTTTGGGTGTTAGGGGGGCCCTTGGCTTACAGTTCCGGGGCTCCTTGATGACGAAAAATCTCCAGGTGCTCAGACGATGTAACGAAAGCTTCCTGAATAAAGACTAAAAACAGAACTGGTGCTTTTTCCGGAGGTGAAGATTGGGCACAATGAGCCTTGCACGGTATGCATCCCCTATGTAGCCCTCAAAGAGCCGCGCTTACAGTACCTCTATAGAGGACCCCTTATAGAACCCTCCTTCTTCGCCAAGTAGGAGGTTGCCACGAAGCCTGCGGCGCCGATCCTCAGTGCTAACGGAGCTGCTCTCAACGAGGTTAGGGTTTAGGTGTTTAGGGTTTAGGGTGTAAGGGCCCTTTATTTTAGGTAACAGCCTGACTGATATGAAGTGAAGACAGTGAAGATTCAGATAGCTCTTCGTCTGCTACGGTAGCTGCTACGAGAGGCTATACAGGTACCTGGATTTGGTGGAGGACACCCCGATGGAGGGCGTTTTCGATATCGGGATCCCTGCAAGGAAGGGTCTGATTCCAGGGCCGGCCAGTCGCTTAAACGAGCTC